AAAGTTTAGAAGCTAAATCAGATAGGGATGAGCATGTGGCTGCGACGCGATTTTATGGGGAAGAGAAGTGTGGCTTGACTATACGCTCCGTATGATATGCTATGCATGCACTTATACCGTACATAAAATTAATCATGTGAATTGTGGGGTGGCTGGGCTCGTCGGAAGCTTCTCCTTGAAGTGTGTATAAGAGAGGAGGTTGGGTTAGTTATTGAATGATTCTTTCATGATCTCGTGAGTACATGTGTTTTTCCCTTTTCTTCTTTTTCTCTTCGAGGGAAAGCAAGCAGCGGTATGAAGTAATACGTTTGATAGTTTAATACAAAGTGGAGCGTAGGAGGAATTCTTCACAGAGTTTTTTGACGAAGGTGGGGGCGGAAATCAGGAATGAAGGTATTGATAATGTAATGGCGGGGTACGAGTGTGAGGAATTTTTGCTGTGTACATGGGTTTTGGGGTGCGAGACGTCAAGATTGGTGGAGAGGGAGGGGGTTTTAGGTAGGGTAGGGAAAGTAGGGAGGAAAAGAGGGCTTGTAGGTTTGTAGATGCGGGTGGGAGGTTTGTAGGAGATGGAGCATTGGAGATCCGCTGCTTTGCATTGGAGGGGATTGTGATGCGGCTGTATGGTATAGACGCCGAGGATACCGAGAATGAGATGAGATGACCGAAGTACGGATTTAATACACTCCTGCAGCCTGCTTGTTAAAAGTTCACTGGTACAGTACACTATAGCAAGGAAAACCTGTCTGTCTCTAATGTAGATTCAAGCAGTTCCAAGTTCTCAATCATATCAAAAGCCTCCAAACTAAATCAACAGTATCAAGAAACCTCATCTGACGACAAGCAGATCCCCTCATTGAACTTTCTTTCGTAGTATTACCTACATTCGGTCAATCCGGTAGTGGCGTCTGTCTGCATCTCATCCACCCATACACGTAAATTCCTCGCGAGTCGCGCCGCGTTCGTTCCTTCCTTAAAACGCGTCCCTGCCCCGCGTCTGTCTCCGCCTTCTGCTCCATTACGGAGTAAGAACATGAATTTTTTTTTGACGTGGCTGGTAAATTGCAGTACCTCCCTATTTATTTCCACAATTAATGAGTCAAGGAAAGGAAAGAAAGCCTGGGCTTGCTAATATAGAGGTTATGTATGTATTGATTAATCGATTGATGAATAATAGGTGAGGGGTGAGAAAAAAAGATGGGATTAAGAGAAGTGCATGCATATTTTAAGCAGTTTGTGGAAATGACGTATGCGGTACGGATATCTTTATGCATATAAATAAAATGCACGTGCGAGATTCCTTTTTATAGATCTTTTGTGGAGTGCACATTTTAGATCTATAATTATACAGTATAAAAAAAGTCAATCAAGATCATGATTTTTATTCACGGACTATGTATGTCCAAAACAATGTAGGGGAGGAGGAATTCGTGATGTGATGTGATGTGATGTGATACTCATCGAAGTATGCACCCGAGATAACAAAGACGGTACTCGTAGGAACGACCTTGCGTTGCATTGCCCGGGAGGAAGGGAGGAAAGATACAGGGCTCCATACTCCATCCTATACCATATCTCCGCTGAGACAAAGCAAAGCAAACGGATACTTCATAACATGGAATTTCTTTCGATGTGGTCGCGATTATGGCTATCTCTATTGTGAATGACCCTATCTATACTTTATATATGTGCGTGTGGGATTGGTATCGAGCGCACATGGCCGAGGTTGCAGATGAGGTCGCGATGGACTGTGCTGTGTTGTCCACCAGCCTTTTCTTTGCGGGGTGGTGAGTGTGCTGCACGTAATAAGGCTAGGTATTACAAAAGCAAGTTTCATGACTTGGGGATATGGTGATGTTATTGGGTGGCCGTCGTCTTTGCGAGATCTTCAAAATGGATTTTATTGAGGTGTAGAAGGTGGAAATGGAAGTGGAAGGCGAAGTAGAGTAATGTGATCAAGATATTGATATTGCTATTGTATATTGTATGTACGGAGGAGGCTCTGGTAAGGAAAGGGTGAGGATCATACAGCGGCCGTATGACTGTCCTTTGTACCGTGAAACGATTCGTCCATGTCGTGGTTTGGATTTTCAACAAGGCTGGGCTGGATGAAACACAAAATGCAGTGTTCCAAAGCAATCCCAATGTCTGCACGATGATCAACAATAAACATGCAGCTGTACTATACACTACCAGATCTTGGGACATTCATTTACCAGAGGATTATGGATGCATAGATTGTTTATTTGTTGCTGGCTCCTGAACAATAGAAATGGCCGCGGTCATGGCCTCAGCCCTGAAGCCAAGCGCGTGCGTGATCTGAGACTTATGCAAATAATCTGCACTGGGTATAGTGATGAATGTCAATTGTCAATGACATACATAGCGGGCAAATCAGAGGGTTGGATTGGAAACGCCTGTCGGGTATCAAAAGCAAGTCTTCCTCGAATCTGTATGTTGTTTATGTGGAGTGGTATTTTAGCTGCAGCCGACCTGCAGACCATACAGGACACGGCCAGCCAGCTCAGCCAACCGTGAGGTCCGTAGTCGATCAATCCTAATCCACAGAAGCTCCATATACATGGCCAGGGAAGCTCTGTACGGAACATGTACGGTACGAAGTACGCCTACTCGGTGGTGGTGCTCCTCGTAAGTGCGTGCAGGAAGACTAGTAGCAGAACAATAGGAGCAGCTCCGTCACTCTCACGCGTGATAGATGGGATTTTACAAACCTGGGGCTCAGCAAACTTACAAAAAATTACCGTATCGTGTCGTCGCGTAATTCATCATGGACCGACTCTATTCGAGTACCGTGATTTCTGCGTGTGTTGGGTTGGGATCTAAAATGGCAGCTCATGAACGGTAATCAGAGATATCGGATTCCAGCTGTCCAGTGGAAAGCTCGAAACGCGACTTTCGGGCCAGGTTATAGCTTGCCCGTGCCTGGGGCTCATCCCAGCCCAGCAACTCTGCCCCGTATGCACGCTCACGCTGTACTCGTACTGTAGCCAGAGGCGCGCATCCCAGTCTCTGCCATAGAAACAGGCCTAATCTGCTTTCAGCCGCGCCGCGCTGTGGTGAGCCCTGGCTGTTGTGGATCGATTTATTTGGACGACAGGTGGAATTGGATTAGACTTGTACGGCATCCACGGTGATGCTTGCATACATACGATGCGATGGGCTGGCTGGCTGGCTGGGCTGATCCAAGCGAAGAGAAGAAAAGGGAAAAGCGACAGAACACAACACAGCAGCGACTCAGAAGAGAGAAGTGAGAGAATGTGAGGGGCAGATGGTATGGTATGGTATGGTCTGCTCTTCTACTCGTACTTGCCTAGGCTAGGTACTTGTTGTCTCCACAATCAGCTTGTGTAAGATATCCAAGCTTTCTCTGGCTGAGGACTACTACGACCCTACGCTCCGTACCCTGCTCGCTGCCAAGCCCCCCCCTTCCTCCGTAGAGTAAACCTCCACCTTCAAGTTCGCCCCTATCCGGTCTAGCCTCCCTCACCACTCGTTGGTCAACGCCGTATCGTTTCTACTTTCTCACTGGACATTTCTCACTACTCCGTACTCACTTTAACCTCCACCTCCTCCTCCTCCTCTCTTCCTATCCTCCTCCTCCTCCCTTTCTCCCCTCATACCCTCGATCCTGTCATCATAGAGGGCAAAGGAGGATTCTCTTTGGGCATTGACTTTGGCATCGTATTGCGTTGAAACCGAGAATTAGCGTCGTGGTGAATGTTGATGCTGGTGATGCTCGATTGCACTCGCCCCGTCTCCAACTCCATCTCCATTCCCTCTCGTCTGTCCGTAACTGTCAGCTCCGACAATCCCACCACGAGGCAGTAACATTAATTCACCCACCGACCGACACGCCCTCCATCACGTTTACAAGTCTCCCTTCCTCCCCCACTTCGAATTGACAGCGACCATCCATCCTCGACTGTACAATTACGACTCCCTCCCCTCCCCTCGAATCAAGCCTCGATACAAACACCTCTCCCCACCGACCCTGCTTGCTTCTTTGTCCTCGGTCGAGAAGCCATCAAACGTCAATTCACGATCATTTGATTCCCTTTTTCACACCGGTAATTGGTCAATTGGACTAGTCGAGGACTTTCCTGAACTCGGCATCAACGCCTCCAATTTTTAAAATTACCCTTCACCCCCAGTGCAGCGGAAGATACTAGACATACAAGGTTAGCAATTAACACCATGGAATTCATCTCTTCATGTTCTATTCTACTCTCTTCTACGTTCTCAAGTATCGTGGCTGACATTTCCCCCTTGCTCCAGCTGTAGTGCATGCCAACCGTTGCGTACCTGGCATTCTCCGCATATCTTCTCGATTCCCACCTCCACATACCCAACACGCCAGAGCAGAAGGCTGGAGACGTTCACTCGTTCATCCCGCCTTTGCCCTCGCCTCGCGGATTAGAGTTCACTTCACAAAGATCAGGCATTGTCTATCCTGTCGTTCTAGCCTCAAGGTTCAGTCCAAGAACAGCAGCAAAAATCTCTGAACTCTAGTTGGTAGGTCTTCCACGGCGACGGAATGTTCCCCACTATATCCATCCTCGATCCCCCTAATGTTCCCCCTTGGTGAAGGCCGGCTGGGCTTGCTGAGGCTTCCCAACCCCTGTTTTTAGATGAGAACCCCTGGCTAACTATTTTGCCTTTACCTCAGACCCTCGACATCTCATATAAGTTGATATACGTACCACCCTGCTTGTCACCTAGGATCCATACGCTCTTCGTTTTGCGGCCAGTCTTGACTAGTCGTTGTCATTCATTTCATATAATACTGTCAATACTCTCTCTAATACCCTAATACCACGACAGCCCAAAGTACCGTTCAGTTTTGACACGGTACACCACATTCCTTTGAAACAATACCAGTGTCTACCGAGCACTGTCGGTCGAAGCTCCTGGCGAACTTGACGTCCACTCTTTGCATTCTCTCTCCCTCGACTTCCGTGGGGAATTCTCAGCTATTCACTATGGCGTACCAAAAACAACCGTGTGAGACCTACTTTGTAGAGACACACGATTCCTCTCACCATCAGCGAGCTCCTCAAGATTACCTCAGGATGCTTGGCAGAAGGAAGCAAGAGGCTATGGCAAATGAATTGTCGAGACAAGCGTGTGATACCTATGTGGAGGATATCATGAATCACATGAAACAGATGGAGGTCAATACGCCTTGACTTTCACCTTTCATATGCAAGATGCTGACAAACAACAGGAAGAGACATTACCAGACGTCGCCTCGATCGATATTCAACAAGAGATTCAATGGTTCATGAGACCTTACCTCATTGACTTCCTCATCGAGGCTCATCAAGCCTTCCAACTCCTCCCCGAAACACTTTTCCTGGCCGTCAACCTCTTGGATAGATACTGCTCAAGAAGAGTTGTCTATAAACGTCACTACCAATTGGTTGGATGTGCTGCTCTGCTCATCGCTGCCAAGTACGGTGATAAGAAGGATCGTGTCCCAATGATTCGGGAGTTGAAGTCCATGTGCTGCTCACTTTACGACGAAGATATGTTTACTCAAATGGAGTGGCACGTCTTGAACACGTTGGAATGGGTTATCGGCCATCCTACCGTAGACACATGGTTACAACTCGCCTTGAAGGACGGTCCAGCCTACGAAGACGTAGAGGTAGAGCACATGGCCTTGTACCTTTCGGAAATTGCGCTGTACCATAAGGACTTCGTTTCGAAAAAGTCATCGGTAATGGCTCGTGCTTCATTGGCTCTTGCTCGTGGGATCCTCGGCCGCCCTGAGAACCTCGAAAGTCATGACCACGAAGTAAATCAGACACTTATCGAGCTTTCTGTGAAATTAGACCGGCCATCACAGGTTCTCTTCCGCAAGTATGCCTCACCTCACATGTCCCGTGTTGCCAACAGGCTCGAGAACTTCCTCCACGAACAAGAGGAGCTCAACAGAAGAGCAAACCCACCAACACCCCCCGCGGATATTACCATACAAAAGGCAACCCCCGAAATGTTCCCCGGCACCCCACAAAAGCCTTATGGCAATGGCAATGGCAACATGGTGCATGGCTACATGACACCACCAATCACGCCCGAAGGAGAATACTTCACCGGCGGCAACGGTAATGAGATGAAAGGATACCACCACCAAGTCCCCCGCTGCCCTGTCACTCCCACCCCGCAAATCCACAACCCATACACCAACCCACAACAATACCAACAATATGGTATTGGTATGCACTGAATCTTCGACCCCGATATATAAAAATCAGAACTCTCATATGTACTACAATTTGTACCCCAATTTGTGCAAATCAAAAGCACAACGTCTTTCACATCAATTCAATCAAAAGAAATCACATGGTTTCGATCGTCGGCATAAGCGTTTCCCTCGGCATTAGCGAATTTGCTCTTGATTTTACTTTTTCTGAAGCCTGTTAAAGTTATTAGCGCTTTCCTTTCTCTATTTCTTTGAATTACAATACCATTCTTGCACAGTACAACTTGAGAAAGATGGATGGGTGGAAACAAAAGCATCGAAATTATGGATGGATGGATATGAAGGGAAAGAAAATGGAATGCATCATAGATTGCCAAGATGGATAAGATGTACGGGAAACGTATCTGAGGTATGCATTGCATGGCCTAGAGGTTACATGGAGGTGTGGGACATGTGATACCCGTAGAAGTGGAGAGGCTTGCGTTAGGCTGGTGGAGGATAGCTTAATCGAAACGCTTGCTGGCATTTTGGCTCTTGTGATATTATGTGAAGTTCTTGTCGGTTTGAATTCTCAATACCCTTTTCCGAGTGGAACCACAGTTGAGTCAGAATCACCTATGAAAACCCCTTCAACATCTGGTTGCAGCTTATGGTTGAACGGAACGCAGAGACGCGGCTCATGCATTTGTGCAAGCTATTAGGAAGACAACACTTGCTTTTTTGGTCTGCAGTGTGCTTTCCATTCTCGGTTAATTGTTACGGAATGTTCAAGTGGTTCATGGCTTGTGTGGTTTAATGGTTCTTTTTTCATGAGCTGTTCATCGCTCCTGCTTACCTAAAATTGAAGTATTGGTTCTCACCTTCATGGTCTCACAGTTATGGGCAACTGTTACAACTTGCAAATAAAATGACATTCTTGATTCTATATTGTATGAAACCCTTTACGCCTTCACTACTTCTTCCACCGGTTCCTGCTATTTTCCAACCACTCAGCGACTGGATCGGAGTCCCAGGTAACTTCTTGGTCTGTGTTCTGCATGAACGTAACATGGCTAACATGCTGCAAAACTCTATCGTCATAATCGATAATCTTCCCATTCCGGTGCTCAAACGTCGTAAGGGGGTTGTCATAACGATCTTCTGGTATATTAAGGCCGTTACTGAACTTATGACCGAACGATATATCCCACTTTTTCTGGCCGGGCATCCGATGTTGTCCCAGGACATCATTGCGATCTTCCCCCAGCCACAAGATATTTCGAGTAGGCGCGCAAGTCACATAACATGCCACGAACGGCAGCAATCCCGAGAGTCGGACGTCGGTCTCCACTCCGTTTGCATCTATTTGGAGTGCGACGGCGCTTTCCACAACCGGACATAGCGAGCCAAGATACTTGGGTGCTATCGGGAAGACAGGATCGCTTTCATCTACTAGCTGCAACCCCTTATGGTCCAAGACGCATACATATAGCTCAAATATTCTCGTCTTGACTATACCAGCCGCGGTGCTGAGCGCGGTTACACTTTGACACGCATACTGCTGTTTATCGACCCCCAGCTTTAAGAGATCCTCAGTGTGCAAGGTTGGAAAAGTCGCCCCAGAATCTAGCAAAGAGTGAAATGCAAGTTTCGGGCCTTCCGTTTGTGTATTAACATTTCCATGACGATCCTTGGCCGACGGCCATTCAGTTGCATGTTGGAGTTGAGGCATGCGCATCACCCAGCCTTGACGCTTCCAGTATCCTTGCATGATGCGGTAATGACCCAGATCGGTATAGTTCTCATCTCGATGCAGCGCGACTACTCCCATTGCCCTTGGATTATCTTCGGGGTGCACCTTTAGGGGAGGTTCCCACCAAAGCCAGTGCGGACCGTGGGCAAGGGCATAGCGGTCCAGACGCTCTTGTCTGTCGCGGACGAATTCGCCATATGTTGATGCAGTGTCGACAATTTCACCGGCGTACATGAGGGTGTAATGGTCAGAGTACTGGATTGTACCGGTCATGTAGCCCACGATCGCGCCGCGGATATTCTGCATCTCGGGCTCAAATTTGGAGGTGTTGAGTGCCCACTCAAGGGTATCCAGCCTTTCTTTTATTGCGGTTCTTGCTGGATCTGGGCCCCTGATTTATCGTTAGTAAGTTATTTTTCTTCTGATGAAGGGGGTAACTTACCCGACTCTCACATTTTCTTCCAATGTGTCATCCAAAGCTGCTCTGGCTTCTCTTGCCTGCTGTAGAGATTTCGCGACGACCGGCAGTAAACGCGGCTCATTCATCTCGTGCGCACGGTATACCTCTTCCCATATCTCAACCTCTTTGTCGGCACGCCCGATCTTACTCAGTCCGACAGGCTCTTTCTCACCCCAAGCTCGCGACGGGAAGAATGTGCTACCATTGCAAACGTCCTCTATTATGAGTTCTGCGGGATCGGATGGTTTTTGTCTACCCTCTTTCTTGGTGGAGGGTTTAGGTGCGGGTCCAAGTTGTTCGATTAGTACTTGCGGAACGCAGAGCCCATCCTTGGAAATTGAATTTCTTTCCCATGAAGGGCTCTTGGATTTTGCTTTGCGGATTGGAGAATGTGAGGTTTTTGCTGACGAGGACTTTCTTCTAGATCTCCCTTTCGATGAAGCTTTACGGGGTGACTTTGAACCACCTTTTAGTTGAATAAAAAGATTGGAAAAGTCTGTGTTGAGGGTGGTGGTGTGACTGCGAGTGGTCACCATGATTGTAGTATGAAAATTGGACTTTCTGGAATCAAAGCGTTGGGGCAAAATTATTTGGCCTTTGTTGCTTTTGACGTAGACCAAGTGCTGACTCCATCTCGTCTTATAGTTGGAGCCATTGTATCAATCTGCTCTGCTTTCAGAAGGATCAAAGGATATTCTTGTGATCCGAAGCCAGAATCCAATCGCCCCGCATGCAGTGAGAAGCCAGACACTCGTCCTTGTCCGCTGGTTTTGAAATTGGCGGAATGGCTGGAATTTCCATGCTGTTAGCATTCTTGGGATTGTTGATTTCCGCTTCGGGCGAGGAATTCATTGAGTGAGACAACTCCCTCCATTGCGCGCGTCGCAAGTTGCGAACTGAACGCGGAATTTTTCTCAAGTTAATGTTCTGCTGCCTTTATGGATACAATCTTGCGCTTAACTCATCGCCATCCGTTTTCAGGAGATTTGGAAGTGTGTTGAAACTGAAAGGACAGCAGGCAATCTGGTGAAGTCTGAAAATGACCCCCACGGTCTCCAAGGGGTAAGTTTATAACTCTTTTGAAAATGCAACTATTTCTTACTATACTGATAATTGTAAAGTCGGGGCAGAGGTCGTCCGCCTGCCTCTCGTATCCCGATTTTGGAGGAGGATTCACCTTCACTGCCTCCAACCGACCCTAGCTTACCAAACCCCGATCCACCAGCTCCAAAGCCGCCAACTCCACAGCCGCTGGCTCCTGATTACCCATATCCTGAGCTTGTCGATAAGTCAAGGACTTTCAAGGGTCACCCGCAGCCCGAAGTTTCTGAACGACTACAAGAAGCGAAGAACTTCCTGGCAGATGAGGACCCAAACCGGTGTTTGGGGTTCGACTCCAAAATAGCGCAAATTGAGGAATACATGAGGTATATCCAGGAAGAAAAGATTGACCATGATGAGTTCCTTCTCCGCGATGTCAAGATTATGGCAGAAGTCCATCGTGACTGGTTTAAACGAGCGCAAGAGGGCCTCCCCGAGACAAAATGTCACCCAGGACCTTCTATCATGCCTGTTTCGATGCGACTCATCCCAGCCGACGACTTGGGCGATATTCAAGAAGAGAAAGAGGCCATGGGACTCGTAACCCAGACGAGGGAAGACCATGCGCCGTTTACTACAACCTTCGAAGAAGACCACAGGGAATTCCTCCAGGCGATGCGATCGGATGCTTGTGCTGATCCAGTCGAAGTAGATGAGAACAGCAACCTTCTCTGGATTGAAAGCAGAGCTTATGGATGGGCTTTGAGGGAGCCATCCATGATTCCGCTGTGGCTACATCCTACCAAGGGCATTCCAAAAAATGGAATACTGCCAACAGAAAATAAACCATGGTATCGTGCAGCTATAGAACGCCAGAAAATTGTTGGAACTACGAATGGGCGGCCAGCAATACAACATCTGCCTGACTACCTGAAAAAACGACAAGACTGGATCAATTTCTTGTTGCAAGGGGGTGGGGATCGCACTGAGTCAGGGCAACAGGAGCTGGAAGATCTCTTACATTTGCATGAACCACAGGCAATTCGGGACCTTCACGACAGGTACTCAGCGGCGAGATATGACCATGATTTCGCGGCGCAACAAGGTACTGTACCCTCGCGGAAGATGAGGAGTGTCTTAGAAGCTTCATATGCGGAGTTTCGAAAAGAATTCGGAAAATGGCTCCGAAGCTTTGGAGAATATGGCGTGCAGCTCATGGTTCTCAGGCCCGGTGTGACTCCACAGGATGTGCCTGGTGTCTTTTACCTTCCTGGTGAGGACATAATCGCGCAATATCAGTATGTGGAGGTCGAATATGCACAAGCATACTTGAGGCAGATAAAATCAGATGGCTTCAATTCTTTGAACGCACAGGAAAAGAGGACCCTTATTGAGGTTCTTCGTAACGAATTGAATAAAGTAGCTCTAGCAGAATGGGATCGACAAATTGCACCTGGAGCTGCACCACAGGAGAGCGAAGATCATGTCGTTAACACCTTGGCCGACCTTTGGTTTTCGGAATTTCTAACCGCATTGGCAAGTCAATTTGACAATATCAGATTGTTGCGGCCAGGAGAAATGAAAGGTGCTCGAAAAGAGTGTTTATATCTGAAATGGGATATCCCCAAAGTCGAGGTACTTACCGCCGCAAATAATGGCACAGACGACGTGGTAGCAGGAGTCGACCTTCCAGCTATCCAAAACGAGATTAATTGGCTTTTGAAAAGAAGTAGGAGTGGGGGAATGCATCTGCCTAGGGATGAAGAAGAGAGGCTGACCGACTTACTTATACCATTTGCACATCTTCCGCTGAGGACGAAGATTTATCAAGCTAGACTTGCAAGCGAGAAACTTGAGGCACAGATGAGCGTCTTTCCGGAGGATAGAATTGAGGCTGAAGAGATAGAAAAACAGCGAAATGAAATGTGGGATGCGTGGCTGAATGGATTCAGAGATCACGAAATTACTCTGAAAAGACAGCGGCCCAATGAAGGTCACCCCGGTATTTTATACTGGCGAGGTGATTTTCCCGCCAACGAAAACCCTACGGCAGTCATGAAACGAACGACGGCTGAGATAAATCGTCATTTAACCCCAGGCATCACTCATGAAGAGGCGGGCTTCCGCCAGGGAATGGAGAAGGCCCTTCAACACGTTCACTATCCTCGGCTTGCAAAAGCAGAGTTGGCCTTGGACGCACTACAACAACAAGCCGATGAAGCTCATGCAGCTCAAGACGAACGGGAAGGCGCTCGGCTTCAAGCCTTACATGACAGTAAACGTGCCCAATGGTGGCGAGAGTTTCTAGCTTGGATTGGAACTTTCCGCTCCTTTAAGGTAGAAGTCAGACAGTGTCCCAAAAGCGAAAAGTATGACTGGCGAGGAGATCCATCTACTCTATTCTACCACGGTCCCATACGAGATGAATATCCCTACTACTTATACCGGCTTAATGTTGACCTAAAGACCACTCTTTCGGATGATAAGATCGCAAAAGCAAAATCCCTCTTGGATATGGGAACAGCAGCTGGTTTGGAGGGCGCTGACCTAGGAATGCAAGTACGAGCTTATCTACCTTTGCTTTTAGCCGACACGCTGGATGAGTCTTCAAAATCCCGTGATGAAGTATTTGTTCCCAATTTTGAAGATTGGGTGTCAAGACTCAGGGCATACAAAGCTGGACCTAATGGGTCCCATGCTCCCCGGATTGCTTCGAGCCCTAAATTTCAACCCAAGTCCTTGCCAAGTATCAACGAGGCTATGGAACATTGGATAAACTCAACTCTCAAAAAGACCAACCTGGATGCTCCTCCCAACGATAAACGGCTACTCGACAAGCGGATATATAAATACTGGCAAGTACAACACAAGATCTTGACAGAAAACTTGAAGGCTGCCATGCTTTCTGAAGGCTACACTGCCGAAGAGCTCGAAGACATGGATTGGACTATTGTAGGCAGATGTCGAGCCGGGTTCGAAAGATTCAAGGGAGAGTGCAGACGTTTTGGGTTCAAGATCATTCACGAAGGAAACGGACTAGGCTCGAACGACTACGCCGTCTCGAAAAGGCCGAATCAGGTTACCATAGATACTGGTCCAAATCCGGGATATGGTTCCATACCCCTGAAAAGCAGAGCCGACAAGGTCCCATTGCCGACGTTTGCAACCGAACCATCCCAAGTACTGTCGATAAAGGAAAAGAATATTAATTCTCTTTTGAAGAACCTAAGGGATGAGGGCTACAAATTTGTTGATCGGTGGTTGGGTCACCCTTCTTCATTTAGCCAGAAAGTCGAGGACGAAGCGATCGAACTCCAGCAATTATTACAAGATTTCTATCCACAGAACATTTTGAATACGAATCTAGAATTGGTCTCGGGCACATTGAAAGGGAATGCCTTCCGCGAAAAAATTGATCAATTTGAAGCCACGATTGGGAAATGGATGGATCTCCTTATTGAACTTGGTTCGGTCCACATTATGGAGAGCAAGAATCCAGATCCACTGAGCCTTGAATCGAAGAGGCTTTATTACGTGCCACTGGAAGCAAGACTTGAAATCATGGGCTCAAATAAATCGCAGATTGTCGAAAGGAGTAAAGCCGAGATACACGCAGCGGAGATAGAAGAGATGAAGGCGGCAAAGGATAAGGCAGTCCAAGTCCAACACACACAGCAAGACATAACAAAACTAGAACGCGAAATCAATAAACTCCTGCAACAAAATCGCCATAGTCAATTGAAATATGACCAAATGGTGTCTCTATACAGTCATCTGTCGGCCGTGATGGTGCCTGATCTTCGAGCCATCCATGAAAACTTCTTGGAGAAGGATCAGCACACCAAAATTAAAATGTTATCGGAAGAAGAAGCTGCAACATATTCCGAATTAGCTCGTGACTATGACGATATAATGACTCGATGGATCGCATCGTTTCCCCTGGAGGGAATACGAATAGGGCGAAAAGAAGATGCTGATGTGAAATCCTACGCAGGAGTTTTGTATCTAAACAACCTAGCTGAAACCAAAAAACCGCCCAAGAAAACGAAGCCTCTACACATCCAACTCAAACAGGTAAGACTCAATGATTGGATGAAGAATACGACTGGACTATCCGATGCAGACGATATCAGGTTGGAAACTACGTTAAGAACACTTTATCGCTCCCATAGCCATAAATTTCGTCAAAGAATACTGGCTGAACTGGCGGAGAACCTGGGTTTACAGTATCCAGATCAAATCGGCAGTCTAGTTCCACCTGAGCTTCTCCAACCAGAAAGATCTTCATACATAGAAAGCCGACTTGCCCTGGGATTTACAACCTGGCAGATGCTTCTAAGAAAAGCATCATCTCAATTAAAGAAGGACAGCCCAGCGTTAGTTTTGACTGAGTCGAGACCGGGATACTGGGATGTCACTCTACAGCATCTTGACCCAGACGCGTTAGCTGAGGCTCCAGCAAATGTTCCACATTGGATGAAACGCGCGGGGATAG